CGTGAAAGAACTAGAGTTTAGACTAAAGAGCAGCTATTCGCTGGCCCGGAAGAGTTTACAAACCGCCAAGTTGGATAACAAAAGAAACTACGATAGACATGTAGTTGTTCCCAAATTCGAAATAGGAAGCAAGGTGCTGGTGAGAGACGAAACTGTTCGCCGCGGCCGATCAAAAAAGCTAGAAGCCCCGTATATAGGTCCCTATGAAATTATTGGGCTCGAAGGACCTAACTTAGTGATACGCACCAAAAAGGGGAAGGAAATGAAGATTCACGGGAACCGTGCTAAGTTTTATTTTTCGCATGATTACAGATGAGGGCAACTTTAGTGAGCTTGCTAATCAGTCAGGTTTTCATGGCCAAAGGACTCGACGTAAGAAATGAGCCCATAGAAAGTTCCCCTGGATTATACTACCAACACGAAGGCGAAGCAAGATTGAGCACCAGCGACTGGAAAGTAATGACCTACCTTGACTTACAACAAGCCAGCGCAAACGTGGACACGATAGAAAGATACGTGGAAGCCACTATCAACTTCTGCAAGAAACATGATAGCTCCCTATGGTTAAATTTGACGGAGTGCAGAACCACAATTTTAGATGCAACTAGGAGATTGCAAAATTTAAAGGAAATGAGAGGTTTGGTAACGCAATTAACAAAAACAGAAAGGAATGCACCCCGCAAGAAAAGAGGACTTTTTAACTTTGTAGGGCAGATATCGCATACATTATTTGGAATCTTAGACTCAGAAAACGAAGAAGCATATAACAGCAGAATCAACCAATTAGAAGGAGAACAATCCGATCTAATAAAACTAGCACGGGAACAGATGGTCGTTGTAAAATCGACATTGAAGTCGGTTAACAAAACTTTAAACGATGTGTCAAAAAATGAGATGATTTTAGAAAAGGGTCTACGGGACATTAGAAAGTTCATTAATGAAGAAAATGGGGAATTAAAGGAGAAGTATACATATACTTCCATGTTAGTAACTTTAAATGATCATGCTATTCAAATACAACGCGCATTGGAGGAAGTAAAGAACGAATACGATGTGATACTTCAGTCATGTTTGAATGCAAGGAGTGGGATTATACAACCCCAGGTGTTATCACCAGGTTACCTAATTCAGATTTTGAAGTCCAGTCGGGATTCGTTCCCACGTGATTTACAAGTCCCTGTTCAACTGAGCGAAGCTTACACTTATTTACTTATTAATGTTATTACTATAGAAACATATGTTGTAAGAGGTAAATTAGTATACGTTGTGAGAGTCCCACTAGTGACTCACCATGTGTATGATATTTATAAAGTCATACCCTTTCCTATCAAGGTCAATGAAACAAGAAATAAGTACACTTTTATTCAGCCAGACAAGGAATACATGTTGATTGACAGCACTAGGCAATATTATGTTAAGCTTAGACAAGAAAATCTTAACACTTGTAAGAAAATGAGTGAGGAACAACTTGTATGTAAACAAGACTTCCCCTTGTTGATAAGCCATTCTTCAGATGATTGTGAAGTGTCAATGCTGCAACCAATTAGGTTAGTCCCAAGGACATGTACCCAAAGGGTCATCGAACTGAAGGAGACTCTGTGGATACCCCTCAAGAGGAACTCCTGGATTTATATAGCGCCTGTTCCGAGCCAAATGACGATCCTATGTCCAGCCCAACAACCGACAGAATTAGAAATTAAGAACAGTGGAATTTTGTCATTTTTACTTGATTGTACAGGCTATAGTAATAAGGTAATGATAAGATCAATCACTTCCCATTATGTAAACCACACTGGGAAGGATATCATCCCAGCTCTGTATTTACCTTTAGATTGTTGCGAAAATGATAAAACTAAAATTCACTTAGACGAGCTACAATTAGAAACGCCACTTAAGAACGTACTCACTCATAATGATGAGCTGCGGCTGGCGAGCCATAAGGTTGAAGACGTTGAAAAACTTATAGAGGAACAGGAATGGAAATTGAAACATGAAAAGAGTACCCGCCAGTTGTCGGTGTTATCCTCAATCGGCGCAGCCGCGCTGGCATTATTAATTGGGATTATGTGTTGTTGTTGTTGTTGCCGCTGTTGCAGGAATTGCTGGCCCAGGTTTGTAAAGTGGGCCTGGGACGATAGTAAATGTAGTGCTATTATTTTTAAACCTAGGATAATAAACAGTGTTCATACATCCAGTGACAGTCTGCATAGAAGAGGCGCGATGCTTAGCCTGGCCACCCACGTGGATGACGAAGACACACCAAAGGAGTTCACGGAGATGACTCCTATGAATGCCACCATAGGTGTTAGGGTATCAAGAACCAGTAGTAGAAACCAGGCAGTTGGTAAAAGGTAACAGGCATTACCTAGATTGGGCACAAAACCCCACTGTGCGCCAATCTCCTTAAGGGTTGGGGGTGTAGCATCAAACGAACGGCGAACCACATGTTGCC